ATGCATATATGTACACAACAGTGTGGTAGCTAAGGGAGGGGGGCGGACCGCCCCGGGGTGCCAGCACAGGAGGGGTGACACAATGTCACCCCCAACAAAATTTTTCAACCAGGCTAAGGTGCTAAAAATAGTCTGAAAACAGTGGTGGAGACACAAGGTTTCGCAGGCGGAATATGACCCCCCAGAAATAATTTACGACCCCCCAGTTTTGTACCCCCGGCAATAATTTTCTAATAAATTGTCAGGAAATTTGTGAGTTGGAAAAATAGCAAAGTTTTCAGCTTTCATGTGTTTCAATTGCTACAATCTTGGTTACTAACAAGAGACATTGTTGTAACATTTTATCGGATAATATGGTGTTTTAACTCTGCATCATTAATAACAACAAAGCGAAATACGAAGCCAAAAGTGCAACAATTCCAGTCTTGCCTGTGTATCAATTCGCTGAGAAACAATTTTCCATTGAGTGAGCGATATACTTTTGAATATATCTACTAGAGTTGGGACGATTAATCGGAATCGAGAACCGGAACTTTTGTGGGTATCGGAATCGGAAAAATTTGTGCCTATTTTCCGATTCCAAAAACGATTCTTTTAAATTTTTAACTTAATTTTCCATTATTGGTACTAATGATAAATATTTATTGTTTTTGAATTATCACTAAAACTAAAATCATAATAACATCAAAATACGATGTAAATTTATTTTACTTGTATAAAGAAAAACAAAAAAATAAACTTTGCATAAAAAAAATGACAACTCGTGCAAGTACGAAAATGAAAATATCTACGAAGTGTTTTGACCGAAAACGCATTAGTTCATTGGAATAATTGACAGTTGAAATTTCTAGGACATATAATGAGAAAATCGTTTTTGGACATTTTGACACACACAGCACAAAATGAAGCCCAGAAGGACAGAGAAAAGCTGCGGGTAACCTACCAAGAGAAGATGTACAAATTATTGGCAAAACAGGAATTAAGAGTTATAGCAAAAAGAAAAACCTTACCAAGAGCTACAAAGGACAAGAAGAAGAAGAAGAAGAAGAAGAAGAACAAGAAGAACAAGAACAACAAGAACAACAACGACAACAACAACAGCAACAACAACAACAAGAAGGAGGAAAAGGAAGAAGAGGAGGAGATTGAAGGAGCAATGCGACAATTGCTTAGTGGAAATTCCCTTAAGTTTGCACACCGGAGTGTACTTCTGACTTGTGGAACTCTCTTCCAACTCCAAGCTTTGCAGCCAGCTTTGATCTTCAAAAATTTAAATGCAATGTCAATCTTTATCTACTGTATTCCTGATTACTCTTCTATTGTTCTCGCTCACTTCTCACTTGTGGAACATTCTTCCAACTCCATGCTTTCCAGCCAGCTTTGATCTTCAAAAATTTAAATGCAATGTCAATCATTATCTACTGTATTCCTGATTACTCTTCTATTGTTCTCACTCACTTCTCACTGGTGGAACACTCTTCCAACTCCATGCTTTGCCGCCAATTTTGATCTTCAAAAATTTAAATGCAATGTCAATCGTTATCTACTGTCTTCCTGGTTACTCTTCTGTTCTTCTCGCTCCTAAATAATGTTTCTCTTTTTTTATTCTTTCACATTCAGTAACCCCTTGTGGCTTGTCTTGTATGGGGTGATATGATTTTAAAAAAATGCTCAGATAAGATCCATTCTCTGATTCTGCTTGTCCATTGCTTCAGAACTAAGAACCTCCAAACAATGTACACAAAGACAACACATCGTTATTCCTTTCATATTCCATTTGTAAGGAGGAATGTTCACATTAAGAAGAGTTGCATTGTGGAAGAGCTTTCGAAAAGGTTGCGTCCTCGATCCATCTTATCTTAAACTCTTTAAATTTAGGTCCAACCATTATCTATCTTTTATATCGTGATAATATGCAAGCCTTTTCCTTTCTTCTATTCCCTAATTAGAAACTTTTGGGTATCCCTCTACCTTCAGTGCGGACTTCTCTTAGTTGAACGAGAGAGAGAGAAAAAAAACGTAACTTTAACAAATAGTCATAAATATAATAATTTAATAAACAAACTCTTTTTTTTTTCTCGGTAGGGTTTCAATTTCCTGATTCGCGTCCATAAAAACGCTTATCTTTATCAAGTATCTTTACCCACGTTACAATGGATTTAATTACGGACCAAGTCTCCTGAGTTGAGAACTTAATGACGTAGGTCGACCCCCACCCAACTGTGTCTCAGTCGAATATCTTTTTAATCTAGATTAATAGGGATATTTCATCAATTACAACAACAATGCCTATTAGCCATGAGAAAGAAGAGACGTTCAGAAATCAAGATCTGCATTATTTTTGGTTGTTAAGATCTACTGTCACCAGGGTGTGCCCGGTCAGACCAGAGACCAGCGGCTTTTTCGGTTGTTTTTTTTTTTCTCAGTGATTTTTTTCATTGGCTGTCTAATGTTTTTTTTTTTTTATTGAGTGTAGCTATTTTTTTCTTTAGGTGTTTCTTTTTATATTTTTTTTATTTAGTCATTTATGGAGTTTCTTTTCATATATTTTATTGCCTTATAATTTTGTACATTTTACATCAGTTTTAAATATTAAATTTAATGAAAATATTTTATTATCATATCTACTTTAAATATTAACTATAATTAAAATATCATAGAATCATATCTGGTTTAAATATTAAAAATAATTAAAATATCTTATAATCATATCTGGTTTAAATGTTAACTATCATTAAATATATTATAATTATATCTGATTTAAATATTAAATATAGTTAAAATATTTCATAAAGATATCTCTTTTAAATATTAAATAATTAAAATATATTATAACCATATTTAGTTAAATATTAACTATAATTAAATTATTGTCTAATCATATCTGATTTATACCCTTGTGGAAATTCATTGAAACAACCACTTTAGTTTCTTTTCTTTCAACATAGGATCAGGTTTAGACCCACTGGAGTGACAGGGTGTAATCATTTCTACCCCCCCCGATATTAAGCCATTTGCAGTGGTGTGCATCTATTTTGTGCATTTGCAGTGGTGTGCATCTATTTTGCGCATTTGCAGTGGTGTGCAGTGGCATGAATCTATTTTTGAGGTGTATTTGTTTGGCGATAAAGATTATTGTGTCATCAGAGATTGCATCAGATGTTTATCACACCTAAACACTATTGTCTCGGCTGTCGATTAGTTGTCCTACGGCCATTTTCTGCAATGGACGTAATTCCAAGGAAGCGTAAGAAATTTGTGTCACTGCACGACCACAATAACAAGCCTTACCAGTGAGCAAATCAAAGTAATATATAGACTGGCCCGGAAACTCTCCTGATGTAAATCCAATCGAGAATTTGGGGTCAAGGAACGACTTCGTGGAATGGACATACGAAGTATATAAATGTTTCATTGGAAAAATACGGAACAAATGTCAATAATAACGGAATTATTCGGTTTGTTTCAACTAATTTGTACAATGGTGTAAATATATATTTGTAAATATCCCTAAATATTTGAATAGGATTTTGTCACCCCAACACAACACACACACACACACACACACATATATATATATATATATATATATATATATATATATATATATATATATATATAGGGGTGTTTCAAAAAATTTGATATCCTTTGAGATGTAAATATCACAGAAAGTACATGATTAAGGCAAATGAAATTAAAAAGTATTAATGTTGAAGATCATAAGATTTATTCTTCCAAATCTGAATGAGAAATTCAAAAGCATGTGGATTATGTGAACGATTTAAAAAATGTTCAATATGCGCACCGCCTCAGACACGGTATTTTTATACCTGTAAAGAAAAAGGTTAAAGATTAAAGAACATAAAAATACAAATAAGAAAAAACACAAAAACATAAAGACATAAAAACGTAAAACAAATATTAAATATAAAGGGTAAAAAAAGATCCGTTTAGGTGAAACCTGAGTTAGGTTTGCCTTGCCTTGCTCTTTAGGATTTATTTAATATATATATATATATATATATATATATATATATATATATATATATATATATATATATATATATATATACTAAAACTAATAGCTTTACCCTGAAGATCCGTTTAGATGAAACCTAGTTAGGTTTGCCTGGCTCCAAAGAAATTTATTCTAGTTTATCGCTCTACTTAGCGTATTGAGCACTCTTCGTTTTAGTTTTTTCTATTCGTTTGGGGTTTTTCTCTTTCGACTAAGGATATTAAGCTCTTGGCGATTAGTTTCTGATGTTTTTAGTTCTTTTTTTTTTTATTTCCAATTTTTCCTCAGGTACAGATTTGTCCTGACATATCTGCAAGTTGAGCTATCCGAGGTTTTTTTTAAACAAGTAATATATATATATATATATATATATATATATATATATAGAGAGAGAGAGAGAGAGAGAGAGAGAGTGAGAAAGAGAGAGTGATAATTTAGATCGAAATCTCCTTAGTAAAAGATAATAAAGATTTTACTAAGGAGATTTCGATCTGATGGACATTTCAGTGTTCACGAAATAAATTATAATCGAAATGAATAATTAAAATTTCCTTCTTTATTATTATTATCATCATTATAATGATCTGTAGTCTACATTGAGCTCTCCCTGGATTTATATACTCCTTGAAATTATAAGTATTAACAGTTAGAAACTGGTAATACTTATACATATATATATATTAGATAAAGATGCCGTAATTCCCCATGTATAATATTCATTTTTTCTAAATAATATGAAGTAAAATTAGCGTTGCGTATTATGCACAGCTACAAAAAAAATATTTAAAAAAATCTCCGTTTCATAGGTCGATTTCAACCATTTCTATCCGAACATCTAAATTACAGCAATTGTTATTCGCAAGCGGTCACCCAGCTAGGTACTGATCAGGCTCAAGGTTACTTAACCTTCGTGATCGTACTGGAACCTTCGTTTCAACGTTACGCGGCCGTAACCCCATTACATCTTCCATGCATCCCAGCTTACAGAATCCAATATTCCCAAGCGGTCACCATTCTAAGTACTGACCAGGCTCAAGGTTGCTTAACTTTGGTCTTCGTACGAGAACCGTCGTTTCAACGTGACGCGGCCGTGACTCCATTATATCTTCCATGTATCTCAGCTTACAGTATCCGGCATTCCCATGCGGTCACCCATCTAGGTACTGAACAGAGTTGATGTTGCTTAACTTCGGTGTTCATACGGGAAAGTGTATTTCAATGTGATGTGACTACAAGCTCAATATTACTTGTATTACTTGTCGCTTTAAATATTAAAACAATTGTCAAGGCTGAGCCACATAATGGTTATTTTAGCGTTCGTATGATAAAACTGCCGTCTAAACCGTGTTAGAGTGGTCGGAAAGGCTTCCCTACCCGACCGGTGAATGGGAATACCGCCCGCAAGCGGTCATCGACCAATCGCCCGTCTAAGCGTAGGAGCTGCGACTCTGAGGTCAACGGTTTTACCAGTGAGCGGAAGAACTTCTGAGAAGAGGGACGTGGTAACTTCATCATTTCCGCTGCAAAAGGGACCGACAAGCTATTGCACTTATTTTGTGTTGAATGCCACCAGGAACCCCAATTAAAAAGAAATAGAGGGAGTGCTGACCACAGAGACGGCCCATATGTGCTAACTGAATAAATGAATAAGAATGAGTAAATTCAAAGCACCTTATTGGTTTTGCCTCTTTAATTTCTGAGAGGAAGGGCGAGATAACATCGACATCCCGTTACAAAAGGAACCTGCAAGCCATTGGAAAATGCTGCCTTGAGTATGACCATGAACCCCAATTAAGGGGAATGGTAACCACAGAGGCGCAAAATGAGCTGAATATCTTGAATGTCAGCATGAACCACAATATATATATATATATATATATATATATTAAGAAATGGACAAAGTTCGACAATTTATTTATTAAAGACATTTTTATGTTTAACGTTCTTTTTATAGATACAAGTATTTAAGTAAATGCTCTGTTTATAATAAACAGTATTAAATAACATTTACCGGCCTGAATGTCCGAGAAATTTTTACTTAAATACTTGTATCTATAAAAAAAAAAAAGAACGTTAAACATAAAAATGTCTTTAATAAATAAATTGTCGGACTTTGTCCATTTCTTAATATATGACGTCATTTGTTTACATTTGATACGCCAGAGCAGTTATGAATGTTCTATGAAAATTTCTCGGACATTCAGGCCGGTAAATGTTATTTAATACTGTTTATTATAAACAGAGCATTTACTTAAATACTTGTATCTATAAAAAGAACGTTAAACATAAAAATGTCTTTAATAAATAAATATATATATGTATATATACACACGAAATTTATCTTTATGCATTAGACATCCGACAACATTCATATTTCTCTTACTTAAACCCCTTCCACCCACCTCCCCTAAAATTCTCTCTGTTAAGGTTTAATCTCCATTTTTCTCTCGTCTGTTACCCCTCTCTTTAGCTCTAACATTCGTCCCACACTCTCATACTTACACTCTCTCTAAATTCTGTTTTTATTTCCGGGGTTGTTTTTTTCTGTTTTCTTTTTGAATTTGTAGGTCTGATGAATTGGATCGTATTTACTATTCCAATGGAATAAATTATGACTATGGAATATTAGTGTTTAAGCCTTTTTATTATATCCTTACTCTGTCCTGGACATTGAGTTCTACCTGGATTCTATCCTCTTGGAATTTTATTCAAAAAAATATACATGTATGTGTATGTACCTATGTATATATATATTTATATTTTTTTGCATATATATGTGTATATTTACCACTAATATTATCTATCTATCTATCTATCTATCTATCTATATATATATATATATATATATATATATATATATATATATATATAATTGTATCCTCTCTCTGTTTTTATCGAACTCCTCCTAGGTTTTGAGTGATAGATCCTAATCATGACCCTATATATTCTGAAACTATATGACCTAGGGTACTTGGATAAGTGTATTTCATTTTGATCAAAGGGGACAACTCCGCAGCGCCACTGAAAATGTTTTGCCTTTGATATGAATTAAATTAAAATTTGAACAAGAGAATGACTCCTAGGGTACTTGGATAAATATATTTCATTTTGTTCAACGGAGGTCCCGGAGATGGTGCAGAAACATCCGCTGAATTTTTTTTCCCTTTAATTTAAATTTGAACAAGGGCAAGACTCCTATCCAAATATAGAAGGAGAGAGCCAGAAGATGGAGGTCACATCGGCAAGATCGAAATGAGACAATATGGACGTCAAGTTGAGCAACAAATCACCCATCAGCAGATAGTGTCTTACAATACATATTTGTTGCGACAATTCAACTTTCATATGTTAAAATCTGCTCATCAATTCATTCAATCAACTATTGCATCAAATACATATCAAAGGGGTCAGATCAAGCTATTCTTACAGAAACCCCCCATTGAAAGTTTTTTCCTGTGATTTAAATAAATTTTAAATTTGAATATGGGAATGACTCTTATCCAAAATATAGGAGCAAGCCAGAAGATGGAGGTCACGTCGGCAAGATCATTGAGTAATATTGAAATGCATCATATTTCTCCACAAATTATAACAATGATCTAAAATCAATCATCATTTTCTGACAAAAAAAAAAAAAAAATCACGTGTGACATCCAGCAAGGGGCGGGTAATTCGGTTAGTTTACGATAAAAAATATTACTCGGAGAACAGGACTATTATATGAAGATTGTAAATAGATTGCTAATAATCTTACTATACAAATGCGTTGAAGTCCAGGAAGAAAGCGATTGCCTGTGGTCAGGAATTAATATGTTCACTTCTGGTGTAATAGGGTTATTATATGTTTTTTTTTTTTTTTTTTTAAGCATTGTGCCCCAAGCAAGGCGTGAAGCCACTAGGATACAGAGGGTTGCGGAAGATTTGGAGCGAGAGCAGATAAGAGTGATAGGAGAAAGGAAGAGGAGAAGGATAGTGGGTAGATCAAGGTAATTGGAGATGTCGATTGACATTACATTTGAATAGTTGGAGATTATAGCTTTCAGAGAAACAGTAATTGGGCAGGGTGTTCCACTGGCGAGAGGTGCGAGGTATGAAGCTATTGGATTAGAACAGACGGCTACATTTGAAGGTTTCTACGGTGTAAGGGTGAGAGCGGGATGCCAGCCTCGTAGGGCGCTTGAATTCATGGAGTCTGGGAACCAGAGAGCAGCTCATCAGAGCAGTTACCATGGAAGTATTTGTAGAAAAGACAGAGAGAGGCGACGGCGCGTCTGTGAGAGAGTGACTGCAAACAAGACGCTAGATCAGGGCCAATTAGATTACATATCCTTCTCTGGATCTTGTCAAGAACTCCGAGGTAAGCAGAAGGTGCTCCAGCCCATATATGGCAGCAATACTCCATGCAAGGGCGAATGCAAGGGCGAATGGTTGTTTATACATTGCTTATGATCTTACTATAAAAATGCATTGACTAGGTCTATTAAATGGATAATGTAAACGCAGTGATAACAATTTTATTTGGTTAAGTATATTTCATCCTGATGAAAGGATTCTACGGTCCCCCATTACTACACACTGATTTTTTTCCCTTTGATATAAATTAAATTTAAATTTGAACAAGAGAATGAGTCCTATCCAAAATATGGAGGGAGAAAGCCAGAAGATGCCACATGAACAAGATCATTGAGTAATATTGAAATGCATCAGCTTTCCCATAAAATTATAACAATGATTTAAAATCAATCATCATTTTTTTACAAAAAATGTGCGATACGCAGCAAGGCGTGGGTTATTTTGTTAGTATATGATAAACTCTAGCTTCTTTGGTCTTTTCGTATCAAAATAGGGAAAATAAATTTGGGGAAATAAGTTTTTCAGATGCATTACATCTTCCATAAGGCATGGCAGAACCGAAAAATATTTGTTTTTTTGTTTTTTGTAATTTAGAAGAAGGTCCTGTCCATAACATGGATCGGAATAAAATTGACCTCTGACTATTTAAAGCCTTATTTCGACATTCTATGTTCTATATACAAAACAGATTTTACAAAAATATTTCTTTACATAAAGCACAAACGAATATATATATATATATATATATATATATATATCAAATCTAGTGAGCCAGTGAAACCTACCCAGGTTTCACCTAAACTGATCTCCAGGGGAAGCCAGTTTTCCCTGACGATCCGTTTAGGTGAAACCTAGGTAGGTCTGTCTGGCTCACTAGGTGTATCTAGGTCTGCTCTACGGTTGTATTGAGCTCTTTTGGTAGTTAGTAGTTTACTCGTGTCGGGTTTTTTTTCTTTGGACTTGGAACCTGTATCTGTGCGATTTTTTTCGACAGACTTTCATGTTTCTAGCTCTTTCTTTTTTTAAAACCTTTTTTTCCTTCGAGATTGATTTGATTATTGGCAAATCAAAATTTCGAATGTTTTTCGAGACGAGTATAGTTACATATATATATATATATATATATATATATATATATATATATATATATATATATATATATATATGTGTGTGTGTGTGTGTGTGTGCGTGTGTGTGTGTTCAGAAAGGTAAAATATTATAGGAAAACTTTATTATTAGCTGACGCGTTTCCTCCAATGTGAAATGACTTTACTGAAACAAACAAGCCAACCTTTACAACTATTTCAAGAAATCAAAAGAAAGTGGCTGAAACAATAAAAACAATATTTCCACACGTGATTGTAGTTGAAGTAATTTTCAGTTGGCAATATTAATACAATACCGTTTTCTAAATTCTTCTCTTGGCTAAGGACATTTTGCTTTGTTGTTAATAGTTACGGCCCTCGTTTTTTTTACAAATGAACCAGTCTATTTAATTAGTAGTCTTTTCGGCCCTCTTTTTTTTTTAAGAATGGATCAGTCTATTTAAGTAGTTCACTTTTCGTACATTTTCCCCGAGTTGACCAGTCTATTTAAGTACTACCCTTTTTCGGCCATCTTTTTCCGACCATTCTAAGTGGTGACCCCTTAGATTCTCTTTTCTTATGAGTAGACCAGTCCATTTAACTAGTGCTCTTTTCAACCCCTTTCATTTCGAATGGATCAGTCTATCTAAGTAACAACCAATTTTCTAAAAAATTATTGCTGGATATTGCTCATAACATTTAACATCATTATTAGATATTAATTACACTAATTGAGTGTTTGAACACTTCCGTTGCGTTATGAGAAGGGTAAAGACCTTTGACCCCTGATTAATT